TCATGCATTTCATTCCGAAATAAAGTTGTTGTGATTTATAATCTTCTGATCCAGAATATAATATAATTATATGATAATGATTAGGATTATGTATATTATTGATATCATCTAAAATCGCAAAAGTAATCATAACATGTTTTACTTTTCTATTCACATTTCTACTATCTCCAAAAATTCGCAAATTAATAATTAGTTATTGAGGATTGAGAATCTGTTCATTTATTAAATTTGGAATTATATATCTTTTATACTTCTTTGACCACCTTTACCAATTGAATTAACCATTTTATCAACTATTTTCTGATCAACAATATCAGGATTTTCAATTAAATCTATTGTATTATATGATAGCATATTAACTATTTTAATTTTAATTCTATAATCTATTTCTTTATTAATTTGTATTTATTGATTAGAAATTGCCCATTTACGCAGTAGTTCATTTTCAATAGCTGCTAAGTTTCTATATGCATTTCGTAAAATTTGTCCTTGATCAATTGTTTTTACCATTGCTTCATATCTTTACCTTTTAATTACTTTATTTTTATCACCAAATTTAATTATATGTATGATCTTTTATAGAAATTGAAGTTTTTTTAAAATAGGCTGATCTATAGGATTATAATATTGTTTAGATATATTTATAAAATTATCAAACACCTGCTTGCCAATATTTTTAGCTCTTTTTGCAAGAGTAGAGTGGGTAACTTGATCTACTGGCTTTAAAATACGCATTCTGGATGGTCTTTTATGATGTTGTCATACAGATCCTAATTGAAGACTAAATAAAAGTACTCCTGAAGTTTATGTTTTAGTTCCTGGTGTAATTTCTATAATATAGAATAGTTAAAAAGTTGAAATATTTATAACAATAAAATTATATTACTAATTTTGAATTATACTAACTTCATGTAATAAAATAGTGGCATTTGAAGAAGATTTATATGAAATAACTTGTTTGGAAAAATTATTATCAAACGCAATCTGATAAATAGGCTTATTATTAACATATACTATTGAACATTGAACTGTATGTTTATTTTTACTTCGTCTCCAAGTTGTTTGAACTATATAATCATTTGGAATTGGATATAAAGTAGGAACCAAAGTTTGTTGTAATATTGGTTTTTTTGGATAAAAACCTTCTTTGATTATATTATAAAAAAAGAACGTCTGTCTTCTTTCTATTAAATGTTTGAATCTTTGGAATAATTAAAATTTCTTTTCCTTTTATTTTTATTACAGATATTATATAATAATATTGCAAAATTGTTAACAACTTTGACGCATCTTTTTAATATTGCAGATCTATATATATACTAAATTTCTATTGGCTAATATTATAGCAACTACTGACTGACGCTTTAGGGTCAACAATTCAATTCTGTAGATCTGTGCATATGTGATTTTTAAATTATTCAATAAAAATGATGATTCATTGTTCTTTTAGGATAATTTTTTAATTATTCTTAATGAACAATCGATCTATTGTTTCTTTGAGATGTTTTTTTAATTGTTCTTATTGAATGATGATCTATAATCCATTTGGGATGATTTTTAAATTGTTCAAATAGAATAATAATTTATCGTTCCTTTGAAATGATTTTTTAATTATTTTTATTAAATGATTGATCTATCATCTCTTTAGAATGATTTTTTTGATTGTTTTTAATAATTCTTAATGAATGATTGACTATTGTTTCTTTGAATGATTTTTTTGATCATTCTTATTGAATAATAATCTATCATTTCAAAAGGATAATTTTTTAAATTGTTTAATAAGAATAATAATTCATTATCCTTTGGGATAATTTTTTAATCATTTTTAATAAATGATCAATCTATCATCTCTTTAGGATGAATTTTTGATTATTTTTATTGAACGATAACCTATTGTTCCTTTGGAATGATTTTTTAAATTATTTAATAAGAATGATAATTTATCATCTCAAAGGGATAATTTTTTAATTATTCTTAATAAATAATTGATCTATCGTCCTTTTAAGATGAATTTTTTAAATTGTTCTATAAGATTAATGATGTATCATTTTAAAGAAATGATTTTTTAATCATTCCTATTGGATTTGTATTATCTGATTAGAATGATGTTAAATTATTCTTTTAGGATAATAATTGTATCATTTTATGTGAAACGATTGTTTACTATCATATCTTTGGAATAATTTTTCCAATCAAACAATTTTTGCATTATCCTATTGGACCAATCAGAATTGATTTTTGGCTCAACTTCAATCTATAAAAAATCGGTCATAAATACAATGACTAATTTTTGACCAATTTCTGAATTTAGTCTGAATGGTAAATGGCAATTTTTTTTGATTTTAACCAATATAAATACACCTTAACCTATCTGAAGGAGAGAAAAAAAAGTTATTGTAATCAATAATGAATGCATTTTTATTTAAATGATAGTAAATATGAATTATAGATCAAAGATAAAAAGATACTTTTATAAAAAAAAGGAAATAAAAGATCAATAATGATTTGTAAATTTCATACTGAAATTAATAAATGTCTTCATTTGCAGCAAGCTGATATAGAAAAATATCCTAACATACCTAAAAAATATAATATTATAAAATTTAATATAAACTATGATGGTTAATGGATAGCAAACTAATTTTTTAAGCAAAATAAAAATGAGACAATTCTCATCTTTAAGACATTATATCCAAATTGTATGGCTGTATTTGTTTTCAATAACAATAGTAATTATGCAGCATTTAATAAAGATGACTTAATTAAAATAGAATAAATCTTAGTTCAGGTGAAAAGTGATCAATAATACAAGATACTTATTTTGGATCTGATAACTAGTTGCAATCAATAGTATTCTCAGCAGCGTATTCTGACAAAAAATTACAAGACATATCTAAAAGAAATAATAAAATGAAAAAAATGGTTATCTAAAGAATTAGTATTAGAATGCAAAAAATGCAAAAAAAAATTCAAGATGTCTTAAGAGTTTCTTGTTATACATATTGAATAATATCTCTAAAGCCTGATTTTCTTGTTCAAAGAAGTGCAATCAAAGAATTAATTGAAAATGCAGAACATAAATGCAATTTCTCCCAAAGTTCCATTGTAAACTAAACTTTATTGAGAGATATTAGAGGGCTACTAAAGATATTCACGTGAAAATTGTAACTAGGGTTGGGAATTTTGTATGTACTAGATAAAATTACTATTGTACTTGTACTGTACTTGTACTAATTTTTATATTAATTATTATAATGTACTAACTGTACTAACTGTACTAATTATTGTACTAACACTGTACTTCCCAACCCGGTTGTAACTATTCATAGACTGAATTGCAATAGACAGTGCCTGAAAGTTTGGAATCAGTATCTCTAATAATGATTAGAAAGTTTTCATGAAAGTGCTGGCGTTATATAGATCTTTATAGAAGTAGCTTAGTGGAAGATTAGTAGAGTATGCTGTAAAAAAATATAAATCCCATTGAAGAATTCCAGATAATGTTTTTGAAGAGTTAGATAAATTAGATGATGCCCAAACTTCGTAAAGAAATAAAAATCATTTAATTTGCAAAACCCATTATAAAATATATATTTGTTACTTTTCTTATCATTATATATTTTACAGCTATCTTCAAGCTAACTAGATTCTCACGGTTATTTCCTCATCCTGGTTAAGTTAGACCAGTTTTTGTTTTTAATCTGTTCTTGTTTTATAATGAGCCAGCCTTTAGCGTGACTGGATGCTCATAAATTAAATTGCGGCTTCGTAGGAGTTTTTTACATAAAAAAATGGTTCCGAAGCCGCAGAGGCAGTTGTTACTAAGTTTTCTTAGTAAAACCGAAGCCGTGGAATTAGCATTTACAGGATTGCATTCATTTTTATTTGCCTACCCGGATTCATTAAAAAATGGAAATCAAGATGCATATATCTTTAAATGTGTTATGAATAGCATCACTAAATTTGAAAATAAAGAATGTATAGTAGTGTGGTAATGGTATGTAACATACCTGAATCAATTAATGGGTATTTCTATACAGGGAAAGTAAATATTGAGTTAAAGGATCCAATGTTTCAGCCTTCATTACCTCTCCGATATATACGTGTCCATTTAATCAGGAAGTTAGGACACATTTAAAGCTATATGACTTTTTTGAACAGGTTTACTTTATCGAAATTTATTTATAATTTTTTCACAAGAAAAAATAAAAATATGCAAATATATTAAATTCTACCACGGAATTCCAAAAATTCGATTATGTGGATGCAAAACTATACAAATATATATAATTTTTTTTTTAAATAAAAGTAAAAAAATAAATTTTTTAATGATCACTTCCTTTATAGTATTTATGTTATTATTTGATAATGTGGCAAGAGAAAGCAAAAAAATATCAATCAACCGCTAAGTGAGGAAGGAGGAACAAGAACAAAGAAAAAAGTATTTGTCTATCACAGTTCGTGGTGTTGGTTATTTGCTGTTACGCCAAAAGATTTAAAAATCTCCTTAATGGTCTATATCAAAGTACGCATTTTTTTCTAAAATTGATAAATATTTTTTATATATCATTATTTTTACTATTTTATTAACATCTTTTGAATGAAACTGAAATCAAATATTCATTGTCACAAGTCCATTGTTTATTGAGGCATATTCTACAGTATATTGCACGTGATTATTAGTAAACGTGAAGTGGGAACATTGATGATTTATTTTCTGCGAATGAATTATGATTGAGGCGTCGTTGCGTTAATGTTTTTGAATATTTATTATGGATGTTTTATCTCAAGGATAATGTAATTAGCGAAATTAAATTATTTTAACATGTAAAATTAATTTATTAATCTTATTTAAATTGATTCTTAAATGTTCAGATGCTATTCAGCTTCAAAACCAACAAAGCGCAAATTCAGCTGATATGATTGATGTTGTTGCAGAACATACATATTAAGGAATGTTCTTTTTTTGAGAAAATATATTAAAGATTCAACTATTAATTATGTACGGAGTTTCAAATTTAACCATTACAGAAGTCACTGAAGAATCTAAACTTGTAACGAAAAATAATGATCAAGAAGTTGATGCTAATTTAATAGCTATAACAGGTTCTGGTATCCTAGAAAATCTACAACCATGGTTTCTAAAGATTTTTCATAATCTTGTTGGCAATTGTTTTTGCCTAAAATAAAAAGTAATTACTTTCAAGATGGGTCTATCTTACTGGAGACACGTTAATAACATTTTCTACGCGATATCCTTCTATAAAATGTTAAGCTCGTGTCTGACAGTATGTGAATCCATCAACTTTTTTTGAAGGTTTTGATAATCTGGTATCACAAATTCAACATAATTTAAATGTATATTTTATTATTATACTCTCAAGACCTATGGTCTCCAACAACATCACCAGCTCAAAAATCAAGCTATTTTCTTTTCATTAAATTCTTCAAAGAAGTTCCGCTAGGCTTTCTCAATATAAGGATGATTTGCTGGCATCATGTTTACGTCTTGTTCTCTCTATTCCACGTGAATTTATTAACATGTGTAATTTTATGTCGCCAATTTGTCTTGCATTAAAAATGACTAAGTTATCAACCTCTTGCGACTATTGGTATAAGTGCAATTGAAAATTAGTGGATTTACAAGGACTTCAGGATATTAGTGATTGGCTTAGATAAATATTGCCTCATTTTAATGAGTATTTATTAGTTAAAGCAAAATTTCATAATACACATCGAACTAAACGCGGAAATTTCAAGTCAGATCAAACCAGGAAAGACAGAGTCAATTGGCGTACGTTGATTTTATTATATGACTAGTACTGTATGTATTGGTTATATTGTTGTATTAATTTTTTTAATTCATTTTATAGATCGGGTCGGGCAATTAGAAAAAATGTTGGATTACATGATTTGCAAGTGCGCATCCTTCATTTGGTGGAGTTAGCAAGCCAACTGGAACCAAAGTATCAAATACATTTCTTGACATTAAAGTTGAAATTCTTTTTGGTAAGAGAACTTATCAATAACAAAAAAATCACTAAAATATATAAAAACGGTAAAAAAATTTTTTTTCTAGACGAGTTTTTACCGCGTATAGTGGAACTTGTTGATTGTAAAATTGTTGCTTGTAAATTACTGCATTCAATTATTATAATTATGGTTGGAAAAAGTGCATTTAAAGCAGGACCACACCAGGTATCGCTTTGTAATTAACAGTGATGAAAACTATTAACATATTTCTTTTTAAGAATTCATTATTAAAAATATTTTTATCCAGAGTCTATTTCATCGCACATATCGTTATATATTCCTGCTCTTTTGAGATTGGCAATTGATATTGATCCCGTTCCACAAATTTTTCTATGAGAACCCTGAAACAATTACATTATTACAACAATAATATTTATATACTTATAAATGTCATATTATTTATGTTATATAAACTAATTAATATCTATTCACAAAATGAAGCAAGTAGAGGTGCAACCAATGATTATGAAATCTTTATTGAAACGATTATATAACTTATGTGCAATCCCGATTATACAAAACGTCTTGGAGCTTCGCTATATTAATCATTTATCAAGTGTTTCGTGAAGAGTACTTAGTTGATCAGTTCAGCTTTGAACTCTTATATTGGATATTAGTCAATCTAAGACTTTCCGATAATGATCAGTCCGCAATAGGTAAGTTAAATTCTTATATAAAGTTTTAAAGAAGTCATCAAATAACAAAAATTATATGAATTCTGTAGGAACGCGTCAACAAGCGATTTCAGCAATTCGTCATCTGAAAAGAATAATTATTGTAAAATCTAATTTGTTTTTTAAACGAGTCTCTAATTTAACAATCTTGACAAATCTGATTTATCATCTTTGGTTGAGTAGCTATTTATTGAGACAAGTAGAAAAGAACAAGATTACTCAAGCATATATCATAGAATTATTTTACGAATTCGTGGAGTTTCTTATTCGTGTGCTTTTTTAAAATATTGATTTAACGATTTTTTTATAAATATATTTCTGCTTTCCACGATTTGTTATATTCTATTTAGATTTTAATCCGGCTTCAGATGGGTAAATTTAGAATTGACAGAAATCCATCATTTTTGAAAATTCTTTATAAAACTTCTCTGTCAAATATCTTGCATAAAGGGTTTAGCTTCTTCACAAATAAAAGATTGATATGCACGGAATTTTACCCGTTTTAGCTAATTACATATGACTTATAAACGTTCATGTCACTTTTTAGACTTGGTTTCAAATTTTGATCAAATATTCAGACTATTTCTTGGAGAATTTTGTAAAAGATAGCGAGAACTTTGTTACTGATGCTATGGATATTGATGATGAGGAATATTCTGTCAAAAATATAGATTCTGATAGTGTTTTAACGTCTGCAGAGAAATTGAAATGGCTAACACAAAAATCCAAGTTATCAAATGCTTAATAGAATTTACTATCATGTTACTCAAAAAAAACAGATTCAAACAACTTGAGGCCTATATGGAATTTCAATCTCTTTGAAAAGAAATTTTATGAAATTGCATTGGATTAAATCAATTATCGGATGATATGATCAAACAAAAACTTTTAATTAAACAATCTTAAAAAATTGTCTGCTGGTAATAAATCTCAATTGAAAAAGTTAGCAAAAAGACTCGCTGAGGTTACATTTTCCAACAAAGTCAATTTATTAAGTATTGAATTAGATAAATCAGGTACTCAATTTTTCAACACAATTGGTTCGTTGATTTTAAAGTTGATCAAAATATAAAATTATTTATTCATTATAGATCCTACATATTATGTCCAAATTACTTATGAATATTTGATTCTCAGATGTTCTGGACTTTTTTATGGATCTATAAAGTACGAAATGAATTCGCATATAAACACTAGTTCAAAATTATATGATTACATTTTAAGCTGGAAAAAATTCAATGACCTCCATGATGTCATAGATCCGCTATGGGTTGTCCTTGTGCTCTTTCTCTTAGTAAATATAATGGTGCTATTAATCAATGGCTTCTTAGTGATATAATTGTAGGTTATGTGAAGAATTTGCACTTACTGTATATTTAAAAATAATAAATAATTTTTCATTCTTAAATTTTATATTTTTAGGGATTCTCTAGCAATAACTCAGATTTGAATCATTAAAATGGGACAATTTACTACTAGAAGTTCTTCTCAATTATATGTTATCATTATTCATTTATTTATTCAAAGATTTATATTATTTCAAAACTAATTCAAATAATTATTTTTTAGATCAATGAATATATATCATGCAATTTTGAAGAATTTGCTAAGATCTTTTATGAAAATATTATGGTCTTAAAAATCAAAATACTATTGCAATAGATATTGCTATTGTGAACCTAAGGATTTTTGAAGTTTGAAATAAAAAGTATTTCAATTTATATTCTAATTACTATTTATTGCTTTTTATTAAGATTAAATAAATATTTATTGGTTCTTGATAAATGCTTAAGACTTTATTTTCATTCTAAATTTTTGCTAGAAGAAAAAGAACTTTACATTTAACAAGAAGATCAAATACAAAGCAATATCAACATTTATATATATTACTGCAATAGATTAATAGAAAAATGCTGTTTCTTATTTAAATTCTACATTTAAGGTTAAGATTTTATGTTTTGTATTAAAAAAAAGATAATGTTAGTAAAGAAGTCAGAATTTTATTTTGATATAACCACTTAAGCTATTTAATATCATTTTTAGATTAATTATGAAGTTTTCTCTTTAATGAATTTCTTTTAAAATCTATATAAAAACAGAAAAATTTCATCTTTTTTTATTAAAAAGTTTTGATTTTATTTATAGTATCCAATGATTTACTTTATCATCTTTGATTTTATATAAGCAATAATGATTAATCCATTTCAATTTTTTCAGAATCAAGCATTGAAAAAAAATGTAAAAGCTTTCTAATAAAATGTTGAAATTGAAAAGATTAAAATGAAAATATAACTTTAAAAGAAGAAGCTGGATTTAAATATGATATGTGTCAGTGCATATCTGAAATATGTTTCAGGTTGGTGACATATTTATATAGTAACGTTATACATGTGATATATAAGGGATATGTTACGAATAGGTTTTTTCTAACTCTAAAAACTATTGCTGAAATACTTATAAAAAGTGAAAGTGTAGGGAATGTGATATTGGTGACAAATAAATGCTATGTCATCAACTTGACACATTTCAGAAATGCTGTGTTAGTATATTTTGTTGACTATTTTTTATATATTTAGTTTAATGCTGAATAGTATCTTATAAATAATAAGATATAAGCAATACTTGGTAAAATAAAAGTAAGTTATTTGTCATCATCTTTTAATACTACTTTGATATAAAAGGTTATTTTCTTTATATGCAAAAAATATTTAATGAATAATGTTAATCAATTAAAACTTATTTATTATTTTTTTTATATGAAAGAAATTGGTTAGAAAAAAAACCCAATATATTATAATAAAAGTTTAGAAGTAGATTATTTAGATTACATAAAAAATCTGAGAGAGTAAGTGATTAATTTTTATACTGTTTTGTATTATTATAATATTTTGATTTCTGATTTAAAATCTATTAAGAAATAATAAGGATATTATTATTTCATCAGTAAAAACTTTAAAGAAATATATCATGATTAAGATTGCTTGTCTAAACTCATTTTGAATTTGGCAAAATGGTAAAACCTTTAGTTTCACTAAATTTTTACTAAGTATTTGATATAGTTTCGCTATTTTTATAAGCTTTGATATAGTTTTATCTTTTTCCAAATTTCGCAGATTTTTTAATAAGGTTTTAATATAATTTAACCAGGTTTTACTTTTACCATTTAGACGTCTATCTAAACTTTTGATTTTGTTCAGCAACCTTAATCATGATATTATTTACTTTAATATAAGATATATTATATTTAATTATTAATTGTATCTAATAGATATTAAAGACGTTTTTTTAAATTTTCTTATGAAATATGAATTTTTATATATTTGAAATTAAATTATTTGTTTATAATAAATATTTTTACCTAAACTTCTTAGGTTTTCTTAAACTCAATTAAGTTTAATCAAGTTTCAAATTTACAAAAAAAGTTATTAAAAATTTTGAAAAAGTTTCTAAATGTTTAAGTTATATGTTAAAATAAGTATTAAATAGCATTATTAGAGTATATGAATATATTTATTTCTGATAACAATTATTTTTTGATTAGCTAAAAATAATATACTATTAAATAAATTTCCAAATATTATTTAATTTGATCAAACTTTAAAATTCCAAAATTCATTTTTACTACTAATTTAATTACATATAAAATTTTAACTTATACTTTTATCAATTGAAAAAAAATTTAGAATGAAAAAAATACTAGTTTTATTAAAATAATAATAGATAAAAATATAAATATAGCATGTAAATTGCATTATCACTGGAAATAATCTTCTCTTATTACTTCATGTAATTTGTCTAAGTTTTTTTGCTACAGTAAATAACTTTCTTATTATCAGACTTTACAACCTTAGAAAATTTCACGTCTTACAGGTATCTGAAATTCCTTGGAATTACTTTACTGGGTTTACAAACTTAAGGGTTTAGGAACTTAGGAAATTTAGAGAATTTATATATTCTAAATAACGAATTCAATCGCAAGTTGGTATAGTAGTTCATGATCAAATCCTAGATGATGAACATGTAGAAGGGAAAAGTATTTTTGTTTTAAAGTTGATTCCTTTATTTATTACTTGAAATTCACGAGTATTTTAGAACTTACAAGAGAATTAATTTACAACATAAGTAAAAAGCAATTCTATTTATACAAAATTAATTTGCTACGGCTAACTAATTGTTATGCTATAAACTAACTAAATTTGTAACTACCAGTATTAGTATAATAATGATAATGATTATAAGAAAAAGTATAATTATAAAGATAATAATAAGTATAATAAAAATAATAAAAATAAGAAAAATAACGATAATAATTAAAATAATGAAAATACAGGGAATTAGGAAAATCTAATGAATCATGATAATCTGAAGAATCCAGTAAATCCTAAGAATCCTACGAATCCTCAGAATCCTATGGATCCTAAGAATCATCAAAATCCAGAATTATGCAGATCTTCTAATTTGTGATCGACATAAAATTAATTCCAGTAA